CCAAACCAAAAAATACTCTCTGGGTATAGATAGTTCATAGTTATGATGCGCATATTATAGCCACCCTAGTTTTAATAAAAGTACAATAAGATCCATGATGAGATAGCATGCGAGAGGGATTAGTTTTTTTTTTAATCATTTAAGGACGATAAAATAGAGAAAAATGATAAAATAGAGTGGGATTGTAGGAAATATAGAAAAAATGATAAATATTTGTATTTATGGATTGTAATAACCAAACATAAAAGTAATGCATTTTTTTATAAAAAAAACCCCCAAAAATTGTAAGTGATGCATTTAAAAAACCAAGAGAATAATTTATTTAAATAGAAACATTTATCGGATAAATTATTTAGGGAAAATGATTTATACAACCCCAAATGTTTGCATAATCTAAGGATCCATAATTTTTATTTTTATTTTTATTTTTTTCATGAGAAAACTTTTACAAGCTCTCTTGCCTTAACACTCCATATTCTCCATTCATTTCCAACATTTATATCCCTTTAACATTCTTCATCAATTGTATTCATTTTCCTATTCAATTCACATACAAGTAAACTTTTAAAAAAATCGAGTGTACAATCATTATTGTACATCCATTATAAAGATAGCCTAAAGTGATTAAAAGTTACCTCTAAAATGAATAAAAGTTACCCCAATATGCGTTAAAGTAACCCAATTCAAATAAAAATTAACTACGCTTTATTAGTAAAGAATCACATTTTAAATGACTAAAAATCAATTATTAGTGATTGAATGTAATTAAATTACCTTTATAAAACTTTTCTTGTTGTTGATTTATATAAAATTTGTATCATATTTAAAGTTACCCAAAAAAAGACAAAAAGTTACCCTAAAATTAGCTAAAAGTTACCCTTATACTGCTCAATGTACACTAATATTAGTGTAAACCGGATGTATACAAAAGTTTTTGATAATTTAATATGAAGTTAAACATGTATTATTATAGTCTATGTGGATGTTTTCAATATGAGAATGAACATGTATGTATTTACATTCAAATAAACATGTGTTTAAATACCGGTAAACATTCATTAATATGTAAAGATCATAAACAAAATTAGGGTAATCTTCTCTCAAAAATAAACACTACTTGATGTAAGGTAAGAATGTAAATGATCATATACTAATATCTTAATGAAGATCTATCAAAATGAAAATTTAGTTGCGATTGACGAACTTCATCTCGAATGTCAAACATTTTTAGATGTTTTGATGCAATTTGCAGTGATTTTGAAGCAATTGGTAGTGAGTTTCATGTGAAATTTTGGTTTTAATAAGAGAGAATTTCACAAAAATGGGTCTGTAGATAATATTTCAAGCATTACCCCAAACTTGAACCCCACTGTGATCATACACTAAAGTACGGTGGCGTCCAAAGGGAAAGAAGATAGAGCAAAAGAGTCCCATTTTAGGAACTTGTAAACCGTTCACGAGGTGAAGGTTACACCCCTTAACAATTCAGAAGATCGTTAACTCCAACAGGTCTAGAACCATGACTGGTAGTTCGGGGATGAAGGTACAAATCCAACCTAAAGAGATTGAACCTGCCCTAATAATAGGCCTCTACTTTATTCTGATCGTATTCATGTGCGCTTTCTGACTAACATACAATCAATATGATTAACCTAAACCTGTTTATCAATGTTGGTTGAATATTAATGCACAAATAAACTATTATCGGCGATCACTTGAATTGTAATCATATTAACCCTAAACAAGATTATTAATTATCTTATTAAGCGTGATTACAAACCAATTCCCTTTAAACATGCATAAAAGGTGTGATCAAGCAATAACAATAAATATAATCAAGCAACATAATAATCATGATAATAATCAAAATAATAATAATCAAAATAATCATAATTAAAATAATCATGTTAAAGCATAATAGCAAGATCCTAGGCATGATACTAACAAGATTAATAACAAACCCTAACATGTCACTAAACAATCAAAGATTAAATATTTAGCCCTCACATGATACTAACATAAATATTAGGAAAGTAAGTAGGAAGTATCATAGAAATCATAATTGATATAATTAAGAAACTTATTGTTGTCACCCTAAACATGATACTAGGAAACAATAAAACATCATAACATGATACTAGGAATCAAAATAACAATCTAAGCATGATTTCTAAATCATAATATCAATTAAACAATTAAAGCACTTACTTGGATGCCTCGTACCTCTTTCTAATAACAAAATACACACGTTAGTAACTTCAAGGAAAATATAAAATAAACAATTAAATTAAATAATTGAAAAGAGAGATTTGGGAACAAACCCTCAGAAATTAAAACCTTTCATGTCTAGGGCGAAGGCAACTTCGAACTTGGCTAGGTGTTTCTAGATCTTGTGAATGCAGAATTTTGTATGTAAAAAGGCTAGTTTAGAAAAGAGAAAGAGAAAGTAATCAAGAATTTCTTGATGAGAGTTGGTAATTTTTGATGAGATCTGATGATGGAAAACGGAGGCTTTAGGAGGCTATTTATAGAGAAAATTAGCTGGACAGATAAAAAAACGAATCAGAGTTTCGAAGAGAATAAAACGACTATTGGCGTCAGACGCCAAACATTAGCGCCAAGCATTAGCGCCATACGCCAAGCATTAGCGCTAGGCGCTAGAAACCAACTTCACGCGTTTTCTTAATTTTGATAAAATTTAGCCATACAGAAGGGCAAAATCATATTTTCCTTAAAAACACTTCTTTTATTCTGATTAAAACTCTAAAAAGTCAACTAAAGTCAATTTATCAATGCTAATTAAATTAGGAATGAAAATAACCTTCTAGAAGAATCTAGAAGACCATTGGGCCCTCTTCTAGATCATTGGGTCGCACATAAATATCAAATCGGGCCCAGTTTAGTAACTTGGCCATAATTTCCTCATTATTCATCAGAATTGGGCTTATAATATATCGTTGGAAATCTCTTTTCAAGATCCATCCAACTACACCATTATTGGACCATTTCTATGGACCAAACTAAACTGGATTGGCTGTTTTCTTAAAATAGGTTTTCAAAAACAGAGAGAAATAAAAGAAATTAAAACTAACCGCAACACTAGACTTTCCACACTTTCACTTAATTCGATTATGATTCGACGTGAAAGGTACTCATCACTGGGTTTGGTTTTGGGGAGACACAAATGGGTGTCTACAGGGTCTAAAATGAAGGTTTTGATTTTTTTTTTTTTTTTTTGTATATAAATGTGAGGAATGAGCGGTTACTTGCATTACCGTGGTTAGTGGGTGGTAACTGCATGGTTAGTGAGGTGTGGGTAAGGGTTTTATTGTAATTTGGGGGTTAGGTAGTTATGGGTACAAGAGGGTGTAGCCATTAGGAATAGATTTTGGGGCCTCAAGGCACTGTGCTATTGGGCTATTTTCACAGCCCAATAGCAGGCCCTGTCAACTATTTACCAAAAGTCTTTCACTATTCTTAATGACCAGTCAAATTGTGGTAATATTATTCCTAATAATAAACCAAAACCAAGAGGTGTTAAGATTATGCTTAGCAGTTTAGGGTACATAAATGAACAAATACTCAATTCATCGCCTTAACCAGTTACAAGAAACAATCAATAGTAGACAGAAGAGGTGACAGATCCATCCCCTTATTTAAACGAGCCCATGTTGTGATGGTCCGAAATCTCTTCTAATTTTATATCAAAAAATGGTCAAATTAATACACCATATAATTCATTATACGATCTCTATTTATTTAGAAAATTGTGGAAAAACAAAACGTGTCATTTCTCTAAAAAAATACAAATATCTTAACTAAAATACTACAAAATTGTAACAATTCAACCAAAATGTGCCCTTTTCATAAAAAATAAAAAAAATAAAAAGATGTCAATTAATCAATACGTTATTTCACCAATAGCTGGTTGCCTTAATGTGTCCGCTGTTGGTTTGAGAGCAAGAAAGTAATGAGTCATGTACAAGCTATGAATAAAGCTGAAATAATTTTGCAATAAGTCAAGGTAATTTACAGTTGAAATCCAAAGAAGAATAAAGTTGGTGAAGAAAATAAAGAGGCTTGAAGAATAAAGCCTCTTTAAGCTAAGTTTGTCCTGTATTTTTTTTTCTGCATGCAGGATGTAGAGCTTTCTTACATACCCTACTTTCCTGCACTTTCCTTCATCTTACCTACCGCCTTCCGAAAGAACTGAGAGATGAAGCAGAATACCCTGTTTGCTGATATTATGGTGGAAAGTATAACAGGGATGTTAAACAATGGAAGCTATAATTTGCCAAAAAAAAAAAAAATAATAATAATAATAAAAATTGGAAGCTATAAAGATACATACTTCATAATAGAAAAGAAAGAAATAGGCCAATATATCTTTGGTCTAAGTCTTGTAGTTAGTATTGCCTTGATTCTTAGGCTTAGACAATTCAATTTTTTTTGAATCATTTCGAAATATTATGCCACTTTTTATATTTAGTAAATTAAGCTTTAATATATTATGTACTTATTTTCACGAGTTTACAGGACATGTATCAAGTTTTAAAGAAACTACATATTGCCACGACAAAAATGTGATGTTTGTAGATAGTGAAAGACAGTTACGATATTTCAACTCAATTTCTTAAATATGATCCCTAGATAAAATGTGGCATAATAAAGGCCAAAGGATCAGACATGTAATGGTACCTTGTTTTGTTCTTGATTAGCTAAAATTGTGTAATATTAAGGGTCAAACAATTCCTATAAAAGAAAACTACTGTCTTATTAACACTTGCAACAACAAAATCCTTTTTTTCTTGCCATTCACCATTACTCTAAAACCACTCTTTTCTGTAAAACTTTACATTTAATAATTAATCTTGCCTTTCTTTTGTGATAAGGGCTTTTTGATATTCCAAAATCCAAAAGGACCACGAGCTCCGAAAGCAGAGTAAAAGACTAAAAGGGAATATATGCCTGCTAATGCAAAAGGTGAATGCCAACAAAGCTGTGTAAAAATGAGTAGTCAATCATATTCTAGCTTAGAATATAGTCATTAATATCACATTTTTTACATACATAAAGCTTCCTAAACCACCTTGATCACCCCAAATTAAGAAGTCAACAATGAAATTTTACAAATTTGTTGCCTAAACCATGAAAATCCCTGCCTCAAGCAGCTTCTGACATCCTGTTGTTCTTCTGTGATTACGTCGAAACCAGCAGAGTGATTCTAACACATTTTTAAGCATGTCAGACAAAAAAGCTCCGAACCCTGATGATTTCAAGTTAAAAGACACAAAGCCACAGCTTGGCGAGCGATGGCCACATGGAGGGGTTCGAGGTGGGCATGGATGGATTGGAGGCGACAGGACTTCAAGCACGTACGACCTTGTTGAACAGATGAACTACCTGTATGTTCATGTGGTTCGTGCCAAAGATCTTCCTGTTAACCCTGTATCGGGGAGCTGTGACCCCTATGTAGAGGTCAAGTTGGGGAACTACAAGGGTAAAACGAAGCACTTTGAGAACAAAATCAATCCTGAGTGGAAACAAGTATTCGCGTTTTCAAAGGAGAAGATACAATCTACTGTCCTAGAAGTCTATGTAAGAGACAGGGAGATGGTGGGCAGAGATGAGTACTTAGGCAAGGTGGTGTTTGACTTGAATGAAGTCCCTACACGGGTTCCTCCTGATAGTCCTCTGGCACCACAATGGTATAGGCTAGAGGATCGTCGAGGAGAGGTGAAGACAAGAGGAGAGGTTATGGTTGCTGTTTGGATGGGAACACAAGCTGATGAAGCTTTTCCTGAAGCTTGGCATACAGAAGCTGCTTCAGTAGTTTCAGGAGAAGGCGTTTACAACATCAGATCAAAGGTTTATGTTTCTCCCAAATTATGGTATCTTAGAGTAAATGTGATTGAAGCACAAGATGTTGAGCCGCATGATAAAAGCCAACTCCCACAAGTTTTTATCAAGGCTCAACTTGGAAACCAAATACTTAAAACTAAGGTGTGCCCGGTGAAGACTACCAATCCGCTCTGGAATGAAGATCTGATCTTTGTAGCAGCAGAACCCTTTGAAGAAATGTTGGTTCTTGAACTTGTGAACAAAGCCGGCTCAAAGGATGAACTAGTGGGGAAGATAAGCTTGCCATTAAATGTCTTTGAGAAGCGACTGGATCACAAAGCGGTCCACTCTCGTTGGTTCAACCTTGAGAGATTTGGGTTTGGAGCCCTAGAGGGAGATAAGAGAAATGAGCTTAAATTCTCAACAAGGGTTCACCTAAGAGTATGTCTTGAGGGGGGTTACCATGTGCTCGATGAATCAACAATGTATATCAGTGATACTAGGCCAACTGCCCGACAGTTGTGGAAACAGCCAATGGGGATCCTCGAGGTGGGAATCTTGAGTGCTCAAGGGCTTTCACCCATGAAGAAAAAGGAAGGAGGTAGCAGCACTGATGCATATTGTGTGGCAAAGTATGGACTAAAATGGGTTCGAACAAGAACCATCATCCAGAGCTTCAACCCTAAGTGGAACGAGCAGTACTTGTGGGAAGTTTATGATCCTTGCACCGTGATCACCTTAGCAGTTTTCGACAACTGCCATCTCGGAGGAGATGACAAGAGTGCAAAAGATCCTAAGATAGGGAAGATAAGAATCCGGCTGTCTACCCTAGAAACAGACAGGATTTACACCCATTCTTACCCTCTCCTTGTCCTGCAGTCCTCTGGTGTAAAAAAGATGGGCGAGCTCCAACTAGCAATTCGATTCACCTGCTTATCATTTTCAAATATGATCTATCAATACTCCCATCATTTACTCCCAAAGATGCATTATGTCCACCCTTTCACCATAAACCAATTGGACAACTTGAGATACCAAGCCATGAACATTGTGGCAATCAGGCTGGGCAGAGCAGAACCGCCCCTCAGAAGAGAGGTCGTAGAATACATGCTAGATGTCGACTCCCACATATGGAGCATGAGGAAAAGCAAGGCCAACTTCTTCAGGATTGTCTCGGTCTTCTCAGGAATGCTCTCTATGAGCAAGTGGTTAGGCGAGGTCTGCAAATGGAAGAACCCGGTCACTACAGTTCTAGTTCACATTCTCTACTTCATCTTAATTTGCTATCCAGAACTCATCCTCCCAACCGTTTGTCTCTACATGTTTCTGATCGGTGTATGGAATTACCGATACAGGCCAAGGCATCCTCCTCACATGGATACCAAGCTTTCATGGGCAGATGCAGCTCACCCTGATGAGCTTGATGAAGAATTCGATACCTTCCCAACAACAAAGTCATCAGATATAGTTCGAATGAGATATGACAGGCTCCGAAGTATAGCAGGGAGGATACAGACAGTGCTTGGAGATATGGCAACTCAAGGAGAAAGATTCCAGGCATTATTAAGCTGGAGAGACCCTCGAGCTACCTGTCTGTTTACTTTCTTTTGCCTAATCGCAGCTATTTTACTCTATGTTACACCATTTAGGCTGCTGGCTATCTTTGCAGGCTTGTATCTCTTCCGACATCCTCGGTTCAGAAGCAAGATGCCGACAGTTCCTAACAATTTCTTCAGGAGATTGCCCTCTCGAGCTGATAGCTTGCTCTGATAAATTCACCCTACTTACATAAACTTTGGTTTGTTTTATGTGTATGATCATTATCATTAACATTTTCTTATAATTTTGTTTTCTTTTTTTTCCTTCCACTATTCGTGAGTTGTAATGTTTTGTCTCCTCAAGAAATTTTTACAGTCAATCATTTTCATTCTATAGTCATGTTGCAATGAAGATCTACTTTTTCATATCCAGCAATTTTAAAACCATGCCGTTTGCAAACCAAAAATAAGGGCTGTGTTATTTTTCATTTACTAATTTTGCGTCTTTTCGATTATTTATTTGTTTACAAAATTAATATAACCACAAATACTAGATTATATGGGTGTTGTAAATCCTAAAATTCTTTGCTTTTTCTCTTCAGTTTCCTTCTGTGGTACTGTTAAAAAATTGTAAGGAAGCTCCTAAAATGGTTTTAATTAGTCACTGGCTCATCAATTGTACAAAGTGTAAAGGGGTGGAAGATTATCGCAATATGTATTTTCAAAATATTATTCAATTTTCATACACAAAATTAAGTAGTCTGTACTTGTAAAATATTCAATTTTCATACCCGAAATAAGTAGGATATACTATATATATCGCGCAATAACAAGTCAAGACTCAAATGGCGAAGCTTGTTTTGTTTAATCTATAAATTGAAATCAAAAGGATTTATAGCAACATTGTTTAACCCAAACATTACTTGGAAAATGCATGGAAAAGATCTACGATGCAGTTCATTAACAAAGCAGATTCGAGAAATCTTCAGACTAATTTTGCTACAGAGCTAGAACTGACCCAAACACAAGCTAAGGGTGCAGCAAAATTGGGTAGACGAACCAAAAAGCAAGGGAATAGAGGTACATGGTACATCCTAAAATTCATGAAACTCAGGCACATCCCAATATTTATGAAACTCCTATGGGGTGTAGCGGTGTAGGTATAACACCATTTATGAAGACGCTTGTTAAAAAGTGAAACAACAGGTTCTGGTCAAGTATGATCAACCATACCTCTACTAGAATCTGAGCAATTCACCAATAACCAACTTTAGGAAGAGGATCAGAACAGAGGTCAACTAAGAAACCTGAATCCTTACTAAAGCATCAACACCAAACAAAAGGGGCTACTGTAGATATACTAATTTCACTGAGAAATCAAAACCAAACAAGTTGTCGTAGAGGCATTTGCTGCATCTAACAAAATTTGAAAACTTCCACAAGGGGTTGATATGGCACGAAAATTTTTAAATACTTGAATCATGATGAGAAACATACATCAAGAAACATAAACTTAAATAATAAGATGGCAAAATCTGATGTGCAAGTTACTCTCTACTCAGCTCCTCTAAAAGACAAGCTCATGAGGTTTCATGCCTGACTTTAAGGAAAATCTTGCTGCCAAATATGCCTTCAATTCAGGGACGGCTTCAATGTTCTTTGCCAATGGGCCATCAACAGCCTTCTGAGACTCTTTCTTCTCTGCTGGAAGTACATTCTTCTCCTGTAATTTAATAAACAATTCAAACGGTGAGACTACTAAACTAGAGCACATAGAACTAACTTCAAGCAGGTAAAAATAAAAATAAAAATCTCACCTCTTTCTCTGCCTCAAAGAATTCTCCTTCTCCCTTCTTTTTCTTCTGTTCACCTTGCTTGGCGAAGTATTTGTCATCGATGCTTGACACATCAACTCCAGAAACATCAACTTTAGTAGAAGTAGCAATCACATATGCTTGGTTGCATCTCCTTAGTGGGACACCATTAATCTTAAAGGGACCTAATTGAAACAACAGAAAGCAATTGTTATTTATAATCAAACAATCATCTACATCAATATGCACATCCAACTGCCTACAATCAAGTGAATCAACAAATACCACAGAAAAAGGCATGACTTCAATGTAAAAACATAGCCACACAACAGTTGTCAAGCAATTTCCCATGGTCAAGACAATCTATGCTTCCATGAAAAGATTATATCATCCTCCCACTGTCCATTTAACAAAGAAACAAATTTCAAAAAATGTTTAATAGACTGTATCACATATCACTCATTTCAAACATTATCCAAAGTAACAACACTATTCTGAATTAATACGTAATAAACATTAACAACACAATTTGACAAATTTGGTAAACAATGTTTTTTGCAACAAAAAACTTTTTCCTTTTACATCTCAAGAGCAAAATATAAGGCTCTAGGCTCAAAGTTTATGAATCTACGATACACCATCAGCTTGGGCTAACACAGATATAACAAGTCACGATCCATCTTCCTAAAAAGATTCCCATTAAATTGTAAAAATAGATGAAATAGTCTCTTATAAATTTTACAGTCATTGCATTGAACTTTGAAGAACTACATCCAGATTGCTGTATAAACTTTGCAAAAAGGGGGAGCACATAAAGTCATAAACCCATTGGTCTGTATTCCAAACCAATTCCTTTTTAAGAACCAGCCTATTTGGACGCCAGCTACCATGAAAGAAGATTCCCAGATTATGGATTAAATATCAGTAAAAGGAAACAGCTTTACCCTTGATAACAAGTTTCAGTCAAAGACTCACAGGTAAAATTCTTGTCAGCTGAATTGAGACTATATCTGAGCTGAACATATTCAGACTACGGTTATACATAGGTCTTAAGAAAAAGCGAGGACTACAACATCAAAATGAAGTATAACCATGTTTACTTCACAAATTTGAAAATGACTAAAAGGCCTAATATATACTCCTACATTACATAACACCGCATTCCACTTTCAGCCATATACCAAGACTATTTTGACAGATTATGCAAACACAAAACCATTGAAAATTAAAGAAAGAACAATCCCCAACCCAAAACATTTCCCCAAATTCCAAACTAACAGTAAGAAACACAACCAAAAGGCCTGAAAACAGTCCTACACATATATTACTATGCATTTCACTGCCTAAAAAACAAGGCCTCTACCCAGTATCCATAATCAATCCGATACGACACCGACAAAATATATTAAAGACATAACAATCACAATGCAAACCATTTCCAAAATCAATTCTCATAAAGGATTATCAACTCTAAACGCCAAGCATTCAAAACCTGATTCAGGCTAACATCATTAAACAATACAGTATCATTAATCATAAGTTTAACATTAAAAAAATACATTTAGAATTTACAACATTCAATTCCAAAAAATACAACAATAAAGAAATTAACTTTCTAAAAAAATAAAGGATTGAAATAAAGCTCACCAGTAATGAGAAGTAACCCAGATGAAAGTTGCTTCAAAAACACAACTCTCTTTCCCTTAAATCTTCCAGCCAACACAATCAACACTGTCCCTGGTGTAATACTCGCCCTACAATTCCACCCACAAAAAAAAAACAATCAAAAACTAATTTTCAAAATCAAAAAATAAAACAAAAAAAACTGCATTTACATAAATTTATAAACCCAATTAAGAAAAAACAAATTACCTAAGTTTGGCAGGTTTGGGTTTGCGCTTGTTAATCAAGGGCTTCTTAACATCGTCAGCAGGGTAAAACTTGGAGGTCTTCAGAGCCGAAGCAGGAGCAGCAGCTTTAGGAGCGTGAGTAGGGAAAACGCCGCCGTTTTTGGCCTTAATAGCCCAAAGACCTCTCTTATGGTACATCTTAGATCGGCTGAATTTGCCGATTCCCCTAACAAGATCTGGGTTTCTGCTGGCGGTTCTGGGTTTCGCCATTATTGATTGAAGGAGAAAGACAGAAGAGGCTGAGTGAAGAAATGAAGGGAGAAGAGATAAACCCTAGAAAATGAGTTTCTTTTTATTGTAAGGTGATATGGTTTTTGGGGGGTGTTGTTAAAGGGCTGGGTTTTGGTGTTGAGGGTTTTGGGTTTTCAGGATGGTTTGTGTTTTAGGCCCAAAGTTGGGATGGCTCATGGCTAGGAGACAATTGTGGAGTAGTATACCGGGCTGAGCAAAATTATCTGAAAATCCGAAAATTTAATCCATAATCAATTTAAAAATTAGGGTATCCGATCTAATAATTATAACGATTCGAAAATGCGATCCGATAATCATAACGGTTTGTATATCCGATCCGGTATTTGTTATCCGATGCAGTTATTGGGTTCAGAATTGGGATCCGATAATCATAACGGTTTGTTTATCCGATCCGATAATTTGTTAACGAGTGTGGTTAATGGGTATCATTTTAAAATTAACGGTTACCCGATCTGATCAAATAAGCATTGTTTTCTTTTATTTCCTACTTAAATCTATTTATCCAAAATCTAAACTCTTACTTAACTTCATAATCATTTCATGATTTGAATGATAAGTATACAATATTAGAAATTTGGTCAAGATTGGCTGCATTATTTTTAATTAGTGTTGAATGATTTCATAATAACTAAATTATAGAGTCTAAATTTTCATTATTGGATATCATATCGGGTATCTGATAACCAATCCGAAAATCCGAGTATCCAAAATTCGAGTTCCCAATTTTATCATTTCGGTTCATAGATATCATTTTAAGTGTTATTGGTTATTGGGTACCCGGCTCATGCTCACCCCTAAGTGAAATAGATAATTCCCGAGCCATACCCATTATAAAAATTAATGGTAATTGAAATTTTAATGTAGTAGTGTCTAGAAAAATGTGCATAATAAAAAATAATTAAGATTGATGTCCTTGGGTAAATTACGGAGTAATAATTCTCTAAAAATCCAAAGAAAGAAAAATAGAAAAGAATAAAGTACGGAGTAGAATTTATGAGGGAAATTCCATCTAAAAAAAATCTACTTACTGTAGGTATATATAGTTACTAGTATGTACCCTCCGACGATGCCTCAGGTTCCCTCCATAATACCCATGCTTATATTTTGCAAATCCTTACATTAATTGAACACTTATAAAATAATTATAAGGAATAATTATTTTCTCAAAGGTGTTAAGACTAATAACTAAATCTATCCACGTTTGAAATATTAGTTGAGTTAATTGTTCATAAAAGTAATTTATTTTTACTATTCCTATTGCATTTAATAATTTGAATACTCCAAGACTTTATTCGAAACCAAAGTAAAAATATATTACTACCGATCATAAAGTTGTGGGTTATAATTTTTAGAAAAAATGCACATAATAATCCCAACTATTACCGATTAAATTCTTAAAATCCCAACTAAGGTTTATTTTTTAG